TCTGTTAAATTTTGTCAATATATCTGGTCTGATTAAATTCATCGCTGAGTAAAGAATAGTTTGAACAGATAGATGGAGATAGATAGATAGAACTCTTTTAACAAATTGTTGTTTTTCTATAGATCGCGGAAAGTAAGGAATCGAACAGAAAATAACATCAACTATACTAACTGAATTTTGAGTCATAATTGATAAAAGTTCGGCTAGAGAAGAAAAAAATACTATGAGCCTCTTTCATGACGCTCCGCCGTCTCTGTTTTCCACAATCAAAACGTTTAACGTGTTAGGCCAGGAGCGGCGGAGTGTCATGAAACTAGGTGAGGCTCATAGTGTTTTTTTCTTTTCCAGCCGAGCTTTTATCAATTATGACTCATAACTCAGTTAGTATAGTTGATGTCATTTTCTGTTTGATTCCTTACTTTCCACGATCTATAGAAAAACAACAATTTGTTAAAAGAGTTCTATCTATCTATCTCCATCTATCTGTTCAAACTATTCTTTACTCAGCGATGAATTTAATCAGACCAGATATATTGACAAAATTTAACAAAGTATTCAGTCCAAAATCAAGTGAGGCTGTGCCTCAATTGATGGAAACCAGGTGAGGCTCGAGCCTCACGGGCTCCGCTGCCTCCGTGTTAGGCACATGTCATTCGTAAATGCCGAGAGTATAGAAAATTGGTTCCAAAAGATAAATGGAATGATATAGATGCTGATATACATGCTCTACAATTGAGTTTTTCAGACGATATATTTAATCGTGGTTCATTATTGTTAATGCAAAAGTGAAGTGCTGATCCAGCTATTCAGCAATTTTAATAATATTTTTTTGATCAATGGATTACAAAATTACCGCTAGGGTAAGAAAGCTTGTTTATTGATAATTTAGATTATCACTCTGATGTTCATTCTGTCATAGTTACTTAACTAATTTTGCTGTTATGGGTATGAAGATGCAGCAGAGTTGTAACCGGTCTAAAAATAAGAGGCCGGTCCAAAACAGGGGAATAGATCGGACCTGCCGGTTCAAAAATCGGTTTAGACTGGTGAAAAACCGCCAAAAGAGCTGCCGGTTTTGAAACAATGTTTAGACCGGCAAAAGCCCGGTGGAGACCGGCCGGTCTAAACTTTTACACCGGCACCGGCCCGGGTCTGCCGGTCAGGTTACAACTCTGCGGTGCAGCATTCAATCTAACTTCAAGGAACAATGACGGTGAATCATTAAACGGAAAGATTAAACACCAATTAACACTTAGAAATAAATTACATTTATCATCAGTTTTACCAAAGGTGGAACAAATGTTACATGATTGGTCGACAACGATTTAATCACAAGGTTTTTTTTTAAAACTTCTTTATCATCTACTATCTTAGAGGTAGCCGCATTCAGATGGTCAAATAATACTGATCAAAATAATACTTTGTATTGGTTTGATACATGATATATTGTTCCATCATCGAATACAATAATAACACCAGTAGGTTGGTTACAAATGTAACAATTACAACAATGGTAATCATTTGATGAATTCGTTATGTGGCCGAAGTCTTGTCGGTTGGTTTCACCACTTAATTCATGTACATACCCAAGTAGTATGAAATTATATTCATGTAAATATTCGGTTGGCTTAGCCATATTGTTTAAAATTTATGAAATAAGTGATAAAACTCGTTGTGAACTTTTAGGTAAACGACGAAGAAAAGGGAAATCAAAAAAGGTTAGATCTGCTTTGATGTTATAAAGCGTTTGTTGTTTATATCTAATTGTTGTTCATTGTATTCATTATGTTGCATGTGGTGAATTACACCATCTTTAAGATTGATTTGGGATCTAATTGTTGTTGTTCCTTGTAAAAACATATCTCAAAGTACTTTCGTTAGAAGCGCATATATATATGATCGTGAGTAGAATTAAATATAATCATGACGGAAGGATGAAAATTCAGTACGAAAATTTTAGCACTGAAAAAATTAGCACTAGGAAAGATTAGGGAAAGTACTGATATTTCACAATTTGGGAGCAAAAGTCGAAACTGTGATTCTTGCAAAATACCAAGAACAATATAAAGCAAATGATTATTTACAAACTCGGTAAAGAATTCTGTAGAGATTATGTCTGAAAATAACCCTTTGGTTACCGGTTTAAGAAAGCAGAAAATATTCTTTCAAAAGCTTTTAAAACTTTTAATTCCGGATCTAGATTAAGAGAATTTTACAGACATAAAGTTAAATCTTTTGTAAAGTATGAAAGTCTTTGAAACAGTCGGTAATACACAGCCCAACGTTGCATTCGAGGCACTGATAGCGCGTATCGCTTCGTTGCTTTGCACGCCGTTCAGTGTTGCCACAAACATAACATCTTCGAGGAGTCTCACTGCTTTCGTTTGGAGGAATTAGAGAAGGAAAATGTCTTGCCGTCAATCGTAATGGATGAGCGGTCAATGCTCTTCCAACATGTGCTCTGTTGGAACCGTACTTCGTCACCAATCCTCGAATCACCTCAAGTTTGAATTCGGAGAGCTGAAGATGTTGTTATCGTATCTTTTTGAATAAGATATAAGCGTTGAGAACCGATACATCCATCATATGGAGAGTTTCTTGTACCATTTTACACTTTTCTGCAGAGATTCCGAAAAAATCATTTGCATACATGATTTATCCACAGCACCCTTGTTTTGATTATATTCCTCTACACATAATGGTTTCAGTATCTCTTCGCCAGTAAGGGAGTTTCTTTTGCCTGTCGATACCATTGAAGAATCATGAACAGTGGACAACATGTATACATCCCTCTTATCATGCCATTTCAAAGCTAACATGTTGGCTGTGTTCTCCTTGCTGCAATTCCTCTTGAAATACTTGATATCATCACATATTAAAAATGATGATATCATAAGCCCCATCGCCCTGACGCTTCTTTTTACTCAAACGAATCTAAAAAATATACTTCATCGATGATAGTGTTAGTTTTAGGCAATAATAAAGCTCGTGACGCATATATGCGTCGTCGGTAACCAGAGGGTTAAAGCTAATTACGAGATTGACAGATAAGTATTGAAATTAAGTTAACACTCTGCTAATGGGATTATAAGTGGATTAGTCTCGATAACGCTACATAGAAGTAGTCTAAATAAACGAAGGAACATTTCTATTATTATCATAAACTTCTCACTTACTCAAAATGGCTACAATATCAGTTAACGGTACTGCAAAACAAAAAGCACGTTGGGAAAAAACGACTTATGTCAAAGGCACATAAGTCGCCACAGAAGATTGATCAAAGTTAAATTATTCGCTTAAGTAATACCGGTTATATGATATCAACTAATATGTTCTTACTCGTTGCTGTTTGTATTTTTTGGTGATGACTAGAATTTATTTCATTTGTTTCCACTGTAGATACTGTTGATATCGAAGAATTTTGGCAATAATTGTAGCTTTCAATAAGTGAAACAAATTCAACAATGAATACAAATGTATAGCTAGCAACAATATTATACAATGTCAAGAAATTCATAATATATTAGCTGGTTTGATAGATTTTTCGCGTATAACGGCACCTCACTACTGTACATGTCGTTCTGGTCAAAAGGAACATTCGTGTGTTCATACAATCGGTGATTATATGGCGTTTTAAAACTGTTCCACAAACAAGTGGTCACAGAAAACGAAAAGGCAGACCAGAAAAAGTAAAAACAGCTTTAACAAAAGATTAAAAAAACATTCTTATTATTATGATTTAATTTTAATCACAAATATATATACGCGGTTCTAATATGGATTTTAAAAGAATGCTCTTAAACTGATTATTTTTTTTAATTTTATTATCAAATCTAAATTAACGGGCTCATTTCTCTTTTATTTTTTGAACGCGGTCTCTGGCTGCCGTCCTTTTGGATATAAAACGGGCTTTTTGTGCGTTGTATCCTGAAGACTAAGTTGTGCAAAGCTGAGCCTAGTAGATGAAATTTGGGATAGTAAATTTCCAACATTTCATGTTGCAAATTGAAGTTTGAGAAACACTTTTCTTTCTGGGGGAAAACTGAAAATGAAGGTTGAGAAGATGAGTTTTGCGATTTTTCGCTATGAAGGGGATGCTTCCTGAACTGCAGGCTAGAAGATGAAATGTAGCAAACTGAATTTTCTCAATTTTATCTGCTAGGCTTAGCTCTGTATAACTCGACCCGCATGGTGCAAAATGATAACTACTATTTCTCGTCATTTACGACAAGGCGATTTCTTATTAGTTGCATTTAGTTGCAAATCATCTTACACCAGATGCATCGTTCGATTTTAACGGTAGGATGGAATGGACTTGACTTAATACAGTGCTCAAGTAGATGAATTGCCCGATACACTGCCCGATGAATCGGGTTATAATCGCTACTAGATACATCTGGAAAGGAGTCGGCTATAAACTTATCTAGATGTATCGAACGGTAATCCGATTCAACGTTTTCTATTTTTTACGCATCTAGATGTATCGTGTTCTGTATCTAGTGTATCTAGCTGCATCAGGCAATACCCGACGTATTTTTCATGCTTGGGTGCATAGAGATGAGTACATTCTGATCTAAATCGAACAATTACTGTTAATGCATATAAGAAATTATTTGGAAACAGCGAAACAGATTGAAGCTGAATGTTGTCAAGCAAAAAATTGTCACAGAAAACTGTCTACAGAAATAAATAAAGATAGTGAAGAATTATCAAACGGTCACGTTCATTGAGAAACAATGATCAGTGCCATCTTTAATAGAAAACGTAAAAAATAACGTGTTATGTAACCTAGTCGCTCATTAATTTTTTTGCAGTTTTGTTCGTTGCTATCTGTTGACAAACAGGGTAGTTTTCTTTATACAACCTTTAAGAAATAAAACAGAAAGAAGAAAATATTATTTTTCTTCCATCTGTAGAGAACGAGAGAAAAGAACGAAACACGATACGTTCTTTCGTACGTTTTTTTCATGTACTGACGTGTGATAGAAATAACATCAGCCGTATATAAACGAGAACGTGTTTCTTAGAATACATCATACATAACTTAAGTTTTCATCTATATTCAAAACAAATGCTACTATTACTATTACTATTGCTTGGATTACCTTTCCTAATCCTTATGTTCGAGATCTATTATCATTTGATTCACAAACAGTATCTTATTTACAAAATATTTCGTGCTCAAAATATACCAGGTGAACCATTTGTACCCATTGTTGGTCAAGTACCTGATATTCCTGCCTATGCCAAAGTTGATAAAGGCCGCAATGAGTACGAGTTTGATTTGAACGTGAAACATGGTGATATTTGTATCATTATGCAAGGCCCTAGCGTCTGCCTTCTCATCAGGGACGCTTCATTCATTAGCGATGCTTTGAAGAAGTATTCAAAATATTATATTAAACCAAAGTTATTTCGTACAGTCTTCAGTGCGCTAATGGGAGAACATAATTTGCTCGTCAGTGAAGGTGATGTGCACGATCGATCGCGAAAAGCGTTAAACCCAGCATTTCATTTTGTCAACTTACAATCAATGACTTCGATCATGGTTCAACAGACGACAAATACTATTGATCAGTGGTCAAAGATGATGTTAGGGAGTACTGTCAATCTACAAAAAGAAT